CACCGACACCTGCTCAACCAGCGAACACACCTCCGAGCCAACCCACCAGCGCTCCTGCAGATCATCGTCCAGCCACACAGGTGGACCCCCAAGAGCTGACGTGCCGGCACCGACACCCACCACTAATCCGTCCGCCGCTGATGCCAGCCAGTCGCTAACAGCGAGGGATGCCGCGGCACAGGCAACATTACGCAGGCTGGGACTCTCACCTCGTAATACGACCGCATTTGATGCGACACCGTCGCATGCCTCCACATCCGCGGCGGGCGCTACACCGACTGTGCCTGCGGCGGGTGCTCCATCTGGTCAAGGCGAGGGCTCGAGGCGCGATTCCAACCAGCCTATCGATGGCCGCCGGGATGTGGTACCCTCCTTGATCCCGCTCTACGATCTCTTCTCGCGTCCACCCCCTCACCCAGCGGCGTATATGTCATATGGCAACCAGCACGCCCTTCGCGTCCCGTTACAAGCCCACTCGCAGTTAGCTAATGCGCGAGCATCATCGCATCAGGGCGACTTACGGCCCGCGCGCTCCTCGGGCTCGACGGCGTCTGCGCACACGCCGCTTGCGCAGCTCCCAGCGACGCTTACGGACGAACAGCTCGCGCGGCTCGACCGCGTTACGCGCGAGGCTATCGACGAACGCTTGCGTGTCCTGGAGGGGGTCTCGGGCGCCGTGCATCGGTGTATCGAAGAGCTGACACGCGTCCGGAGTGTCTTACCTGCGGCTGGACACGCCGGACCTGCGAGCGCGAGCGGACAGACGCAAACACGGGAGCGCCCGGCTGGCCCGACGAGTGAAGCAACACCGGGTGAAGGCTCTGCATTCCTTGGGCGACAGGCTGACGCGGTCGCGGGTACGCCGAACGGTGCGGCGTCGGCGCCTGCGGTCGGACCCGCCCAAACACCAGCGCCTGCAGGCTCGGAATCGAGCACATAGTTGTGGCGGTCAGCGTTTCCCCTGGCATAGTGATCCGTTCCATGTAGCATTCCGGACTGTCTCAATCCACTGTCGATCTGTTGTGTTTCGTGTTTGTGTCAGAGGAGGGTTTCATTCTACGCACGCATCGTGTACGATACTCAGGAATATAAATATGTGCACATTCGGAGACACGGCTCATGCGGATGTGGATGTCTTGGCCGAGGTCAATAGCGCTTCTGCCCTGCTACTAGCAAAAGCCCCGTCAACATTTGAGCTGTCCACCTTGGTATACAACCGCGCGAGCAATAGTCCCTTAGCCTTCTTCGCATTCGGCTCCGAGACCAACTCTGGGTATTCGTTCAAAGTGTCCTGGATTGCCTTGTCGATGTCGGCTTCCGACAGCAGTGGTGGAAGCAGTGCCTGAAGAAGTTCTGCTTCCTGCTTTTCTTTGGCAGCCAAGTCCGCCCTTGACGCCTTTTCGTACTGGCCGGCGGAATCCAACTGTAGCGTGATGAGAGGATAATTCATGACGGCAGTAAGAGTTCATCAGGATTTACCCTTCGTTTGAGTCCCTGCCTCATGAGTCCTACGATGACGGCAGAGGAGGCGGGACCCTTGTGTTTGGGGGCCTTGTCCGCTGCATACACCTCCGATAATACGGACTGACATGGAATCATGATAAGCTCGAGTTGCAGTCTTGATGTCTGCCACTTACGCGAAGAAGCGTTGACTTCACAGAGTCCTTAGCCTTTCCTACGTGTCAGGACAGAGTAGGACGTGCAGAGACGTCCGCATCACCTTCATGGCTGCTTTTAGCTCAGACATAAGCTGTGCACGCATTCCTGATACAGAAGATGAGATAGTCATTAGCTGACTCCTGCTCTGCACTCAAAACTCACCTTCCCCCTCGCTTGTTGTCCCCATGAACCGGCTATTCGACACCACGACAGGTCTCCGTAGGGCATTTCGGAGGACCAGTCTTCGAGCAATTGACAATGCCGACATGTTTTCACAGAACCAGCAAGAAGGCGAGAGATACGATGAAGTTATACGACTAAACGTTGCACGCAGACACGCTCTGTGGGTGCCGCGACGGTCGAGACACTTAGGCTCGTGACCAGCGTTTCGAACTCCGATGAGCGTTCGAAGAACGGCTGGTACAACTGGGCGCGCGCTTAGGGGGGTCCCGTATATGGTAAGTTGTGAGTTGGAACTTAGAGAAATCGCGCGCATCGTCTTTGGGAGCGCGAGGACGACCTCTGGTACTTGAGAGCTTTACTCTGGGCTTTTTCTTTGGCGACAATTCATGTTTTCTGTGTCTCTTCAATGTTACTCCATACAACCAGTCAAGATCGTGTAAGCTAGCATGTACAGTATACAAATCGAGTCGCATTCGCTCCTTATACCAACCTCGAGTGATCTATGTACCCTCGCCAGACCTACGGATGCGATCCGACCCCGCGGACATCCAGTTGAAGGAACCCAGAAGGAGTCGTACGATTGAGACCCCGTCATGTCAGCACTGTGTCCCGAGGCTCCCACAAAGCGACGGCCGTCCAAGTCACCCGCGCGTCCTACCGCCGGTTGAGCGCGGTCGTGCTGAACAGAGACCTCGCGGTCGACGATCGTTACCTGACCCGATGTGGATGGTGTGGTAGTAGTGGAGGTACATGGAGGGCCCGTAGGTGCGTGATGATCGCCGAGCGCGAGAGGAGGAGAGCTGGAGGTCTCGACTGGGACTGCCGGCGATGCGGTCGACGCAGTTGGGGCAGTCGTCTTACGCATCCGCTTGGTCGGTCGTGGCGCGATCCTGCTGCCGTCTGAATGCGTGGTGTCTGCAGATGGCGCGTCGAGGTCGTCACCAGAAGCGCGCTTCTGCGCAGATGAGGGCGTAGAGGTCGAGCCACTCGCTACGGACGCAAGCTGGGGCTCGACTGCATGGACGGCGGAGTCGTCTGTTGACGTGTTTCCTGCGCATGTAGATCGTGTGGCTGGCGGCATCGTCGCTGCAGGTGAGGATAGCGATGTTGTCGCCTGCCCTGCCTTGGACTTCTTCGGCGGCGGCGTGAACACAACGTCGAGCGACTCCATGTGAGACATTAGCTCCGTCCCGTACTTGTCCCACCAGATCCAGGTCGACTTGAGGATCGCCGTGAGGCTCTCGCGCGGCAGAGAGCCCGCGGATGCCAGCCGTTCAACTGTTGCATCGTCCAAAATGGCCGTCGAGTCGTACTGTGCCTTCGCATGGTCGCGAGTGAAGACGCTGTCTCGCCATTCGTACAGGCTGAGCTGTGTCTTGACATCGGGCAGGCCTCGAGGCATTCTTCCAGCCTTTGCAGCCTTCGTCGTGGCAGTCGGACGTGTGCGATTGAATAAAGTCGTGTTGCATATGTCGCAGCAAGGACCCGAGGCAGCTGGACACATTTATGTGAGCTGAAGGACTGGGCCACGGACACTACTCACCTTTGTACGGGCTCTCGAAAACCTCGGCCCAGACACGCCGTCTGCAGTGGGTACTCTGCACAAACGTGTGCAGGCCTTCGTCAAGAGACTCGGGATCGAGCGGAGGCTGTTTGCCTTGTGGGGGTGCGTCCTTCCTAGACGAGCCACCTCGGTTCACACCGTGCAAGTCCGCGTAATCCTTGCCGGCTTTGACTTGTGGGCCAGTTTTGCGCTTGCGTCCGCGTACCGCCGAGGTCTTTCCCTTCTTGTTTGCATTGTTGACCGCTGACTCGTCAGTACTCTGCGACGCTAATAGGTCTGCAGAGTAGGCAGTGCGCTCGACAATCAGGACGGCGAGGCCGTCCCGCCCTCGCCCCCTTGCAGCGCGACCTGCACGCTGGACAAAATTTGAGAATGTTACCGGGAGCTTCCACTGCACGACAACGTCAATGTCGGGGATGTCGCAGCCCTGTGGCAACCACGTAAGACTCCGAGACAGACTTCTCATTGATGGATCATAACTCACCATGCCTGCAGCCTCGGTGCAGATCATAATCCGAATGGAACCCTCACGGAATGCGGCCATTGCGGCTGTGCGGTATTCAGGTGAGAGTGTCGCATTGAACGGCCGGATGATATCTGCTGACAAGGTGGTGTCGGGGTCTGCGGACGTATGGCTCCGGACCTCCTTGACGAGGTAGTCGATAATCTCCGTGCCCGTATTGATGTTGTCCACGTAGATCCATGTTTTCGGTACATCAGTTGCTTGTTTGGCTGACTGCGGGATGACGAATTCAAGGTCCCGGTAGGTGTTCAGAGGGTGTTCGGCAGCACGGACAACGAGGGCAACGTTCGAGCGATCATTGCCCATGTTGATGAAGCGACTACCTCCTTTTGGGAAGTGGAGCTTACTTTGAATGTCTCTGCGGACACGTCCAGTAAGGGTTGCAGTGACAGCGATGACAGGTGTTCTGCGTGGCAAGAATGCACGGATGACACCCAGTGACGCGTACTTCTTCCGAAAATCAGCTCCCCAATGGGACACACAGTGCGCTTCATCGACGACAAGCGAGATAATGTTGCGTGTGAACTTCGAGTTCCGGAGGATACGGTTGATGAAGGTACGTGACTGCAACATCTCCGGCGATGCGAGGATAATTTGGTACTTCATAGCAAGGATGTCCTGAGTGGTGGTGAGTTGATACTTCGTCAAAATGGCTGTGAACGAAACACTCACCTTCACCACAGCAGGCGAGCAGGATCCGTGTTGGCTACTGACAGCTACAGCATTGAGACCGAATTGGTCTTTGAACGTTGTCACCTGTCCAATTTTCAGTGACATGGAAGCTCCGAGCCTCGGACGTCAACATACCATCTCGTCCTCCAGAGCGAGAAGCGGTGACACCATAATGGTAACCTTCGGTTGCCCATCGGGCCAGAGGTGCGCACCCGCGGCTATGGCAGTCTTCCCTGATCCTGTCGCAGCCTGTATGATCGTGTCGACTCCCTCAAGCTGTGCACGAACACCTTCAACTTGGAAAGCTCGAGGCTTCCAGTGGTAACTTTTCTCCATGAGCTCTGACAGTTTGCTCACTTCGTCTTCTGTCAGGGGTCGACGCTGCCGTCCTGTGACAGGCTTTCCCCCACGCTTCGCCCAGCCACGTCGATTAGGGTCTTTGTGTCGAGGGAGCATGCTTCTCGTTCGATGAGTAGTTAGACAGGCGAAGTAGCGAGTTGTAGGGCTGGCAGTGATGGTTGGAATGTTCAAGTCGAGACGCGCAAAGTGTGGCCACAATATCAGCCTTTTTATTTGCCACTCATTGCTACAACATACTACTCTGTACATTGCTCCTCCGAGTCCATTCTCGCAACTCCGTGAACATATGCCTGGCCCACCAATGGGTGATCTCCCTCTGGCTCTCCGGGGCCTCATCTCGATGTCGCCGCTACCCCCATCATCGCCTCCAGCTCGAAGTTCACCGCTTCCGAACCCAACTTACGAGTCCGAGTCTACCGTGGCTGACTCGCCAGTCCTCCCGACTGCTACACCTTCTGTTCGCCGTGATTCTGCGGCGGGTGACAATCCAAGGACCCCTGAACAGCGAAACATTGGAGCCCTGGCCGCGCCCGAGCTGCAAGTTCCTGCGTTTCCGTTTCGCCTGCCCAGCGGTCAGCCGCAGACGCCTCCGCCGCATTCGCGCACTCACCAAAATGACCCCGATGACTCTCATCATCTGAGCAGTGATGGTCTAATCCGTTCGACGCCTGTCATAGGCAGTTCAGCCACACGCCGTAGGATCGCTCGCTCAAAAGGTCAGAAGAAACGTAAGCAAACACTTCAAGATCAGCGCAAAGAAAGAGCAGCCAATGCAGCTTACCATTCGGCCGTGCTCGGAGAGAGCATCCACAGTGCAGCTGTTGGTCCAAGTACCACAGTGATTGGTGGGGATTCTGATGGCGAACTGGACAACTTCGATCCCAATCAGATCTGCGTGTCTCGCGAGGACCACCTTGCTTTGGTACTCACCTACCTCCGAAGGCAGGATGTCACCTGGGGAGATCTCGTTCTCTATGTCTCCGACCCTGCTTCGAAGAAGGGTGACGAGCGGTTTGATGGCATGTTCGCGATCCCCGGACGAGTCGAGGCGGTCTTGAATCACTGGACATCCTCGCAGAATAGCCCCACGGCTCGCAGTGCGATCCATGCATGGATCCTCGACTACGTGAAACGACACATTGCTCACGAGGGTCACCAGGCGACGCGAGATGGCCTACTTCAGTCACGGAAGATGGTGGTTGACGAGGCATTCGCGTTGCAGTTCAGCTTGACGGGGCTATATGATCGCCTGCGTGCGCTCTGCCCGACAATGGCTGGAATGCTCCGGGAGTTCTCAATGACAACCCGGCAGATGAAGACGCTTACCGTGAAATCGGAGCGACGGAATGAGCAGGTTCGTCCCAATGTAACTGTCCTTCTGGCACATCATTGATTCCAGATGCCCCTTCAGCGTGTTGGTGCTGCATTGATGAGCCTCTTGGGCGAGCGAAGCCAGAATAATAGCTATGCAAAGCACGTTGTCGGGCTGTATCTGTACGCATCTGGTGCACAGCGCCAGACAATCAGTGTCCTTTCGCATATAGGACTATGCAGTAGCTATACCAGCATTGCTGGGACCTCCTCCACCATCCGTAATCCTCCAAACACTTCTACCGACCCTGGGGACCTTGATGGTGTCGACGACGGTGTCCCAGAGCCAGCCATGCATGCACAGAATGGAGACGCACCAAATCATATACACGGTGGCAATGCACCTCAGGAGACCTTGGCTCAGTCCTTGGAATCAGACGACGACTTGAGTGGCATTGACGAAAACGAGCCCGACGAAGGAGGTGGTCGTGCATCAATACCTCCCTCTGAACGACGCGCAGGTCTCCTTCGGCGTTTATCCGAAGCATGTCGCAGTAGCGCGCGAGCGCAGGTCCGCATCCACGAACTCGGACACGTCTACGATAATATCAATTGGGTTCTCAATGCTGCTGAGCAGACCATGGGTCACAAGAGCTCCATGGAAAGCGGGACATGCGCCACCGTTTTTCCTCTATTCGAGGCACCACCAGCCGACATGAAGACTTCTGACTTCATGAACACGTTTGCAAACGCGCCACCGCTCTCTCGTGAAGACATACTCCTTAATCCTACTGAAATCAACCAACTCGACTCGTTTCTTGAACACACGCTGCTGCGGATCATTGTCTCGCACGGTGGGGACGGATTTGCGCGGTTCTCTGAGGAGGTCGACGACCTGCAACCGAAGACAGTCGACTGCATCCCTCTCCACGAGACGGACGTGTACCCACTTCGTGCAATGAACATCGAGGAAGCGACGGTGAAGGGCAATGCCGAGGTCTTGCAGGCCATCTTTTCTGAGCTGGGACACGACATCAGCACGCCGGCCTTCACGGACACTGTCAAAGTGGTGTTCGGCGACCAGCTATCCGTTGCTCGTGTGCGAGCTGTCATCAACAATCGTGCGGGCCATGATTCATTCGCCAACTCATACCTTTTCACTGCCTTTGCTCCGGGCTTCTTCCATTACCAGATGGCCGCTGCTCATGGATTACTCGAGACTCACTGGGGAAGCCCTAGCCTTGGTCTTCATGATCCGGCCTCGCTCGTCTGGCACAACACAGTCTTGGATCGTAAGCCATTCATCCTCAGCAATCGCCCGCCATATCGAGTCGGACGCGATCTCATTTTCCATTCACTATACGGCCGCATTATCCACTGCTTAGAGCTTGTCTCTGCGTGTGACGACCTCGAAGAATACTCGTATGCTGTCACTCTCGACGACCTGAAGCAACATGCCCGAGAGATTATGCACCGGTTTGTCAACCCAGCCGCCATCTCGACACTGCGCAGTGCGCGCGCACGCGAAGCCCTTCACAATTCCCTCGCCTCCGAGTCGGGTCTAGGATCGGAGTCGACACCGCAGCTTACACAAGGCGACATGGTGTACGAGAATGCGTGCCTCTTCCTCCGTGATGCACTCATCCTACGCGAAATGAACGACTCGATCAAGGCCGGCGACTCTGGCCGGCTTGTCATCATTCTGAAGGTTTTGGCACTGAGCTACCGAGGGAGTGGACGAACTAAGTACGCACAGGAGCTTCTGTTCCTAATACACAATCTTACTCATGTATGGCCGAAGCCATTGAAGTACGTCATTGTGTCCTTCCGATCTTACGAAATCCTATTATAATTGACAATGACAACACGAACAGGGAGATCATCATGAAGAATTGGCTTGTCAACACTACGGGCAAGGCAAATCACTGGCTACCTGTCGACCTACTGCAAGAACATAACAACCTGTGGACAAAGGTCAGCTGCATGCACCGACTGCAAATCGACTGGAATGGACACTCACTGCTCCGAATGTACAGACAATATACAGCGCGCAGGGCAGCGGCGCATCCTGGGATTGGCTCGAGATGATCTCGCCGTGCATCAATGTTCTCCGACATCTGGTGACAAATATGAATGATGCCCTGGGTTCGAGGCAAGGGACGAAGCACGCCGCACCTAACATCGCCCGGGACATCGAAGCCCTTCGACACTCATTGGCAGAGGCTCGCGTGTACGAGATTCAGCCCGGCCGAGTCATCGAAGGAGATAAGGGGAGTATACCTAACGTGGTTTCTGCTGGTCTCTTACAGCTGGCAGGACCACTGGCCGAGTACAACAAGTCATTTCGGTTGCTCAAAGACCGCCGCCGTCGCACCGAACCACTGATCAGTGTGAAGGCTCCCACAACCACGACTGCGACCATAGCAACACAAAGCGAAGGGCCAGATGGCCCTGCTCGTGTTTCGATAGCCTCTGCATCACAAACCGTGGGCAGTAGCCCCGCAGAGGCGCAGGTCGCAGACGAAACCGCATTCGAAGGCGATGATTCGGAGGGCATGGATGAACTCGAACTGGTTGCAGAATGGCTGCAGCCGCAGCAATTTTTCTCGTTAGATAATGAGGAGGACGTAGATATATTTTCTGACTAGTAGTACAGAGGGCAATTGCGCCGTGCAACATCGACTAAGAGTCGTCCGCCGCATCCACCAAGCGATCGTCTCGTTCCTCTGAGAGCGCGTTGCGCAATTTCTCTAAGTCCCGGTTCACACGGGGTACCAAATCGGGGACCCCCCTAAGCGCGCGCCCAGTTGGCCCAGTCCGTAGGGTGACTGCTCGCCTTTTCAATCTCCGCCCTCTCAAGGCGAGCACGTGAACCCTTCCGGAACTGGTATCGAGTCTAGAGACACTCGTCGCTCGAATTCAAGCTGCCACCTCTGCGCGATCATGTGACTGGGATGTGGTGGCGCGCGCCGCGCTCATTGCTCAACCTGACCCTACTCCATAGTTTGACGCTGTTCCAATCTCACCCACTGCGATTTTTTCATACTCATTCACCGTAACACTATGGTCGTCAAACCTGACAGAGGGAAGAACTGGGAATCACTGTGCGCGAACCGCTTGATCTGTATGATTTGGGCTCCAATCCTAGTACCTCTTACGCTCACCGTTTCAGATTGGTCACCATCAGGTTAGTTTGCCATCTAAGTTCAGCAAAATCCGAGATCGTCTTACTGTAAAAGTGATGCATTGAAGGAATACTACACAAGATCTGCTCAACTGGGCCGCCCTTACACCGAGCGTCCTATTTGACTCATAGCCATATGTCCTTAGGCTCTGGCGACAGCGTGCATCCCCTTCTGCTGCCAACACCACGTCGCATATCACCGTGTTAGACGCGTGTATGGTCGGTTTAACGCTGTATGCGCCTCATTCATATCAGATGGGCATATATAGCCACTGAATCGAGGGCCACACACGGCGAGCTCCGGGAACATTCTAGCGTCTCGACGATGACAATGGCCTTCGCGATGTCGCTATCGGACTGAGCAACGCGAAGTAGACCTTGGTAACGTTCCTTCCTTGACGTTTTCGTTAGTAGCCCTGACGCGGGCGCCATTATAGTTCGTTGAATCGAGTTAGCCAGCTGTTCCAGAGAACAAACCTCGCCGGCGTTCAAACACGTAAGTTCGTTCTTTAGTGGAGGTCTGGCCGCATCTAACAAATATAAGGGTCGCCGCCTCGACTCGGACGCACGGCGGAAGCTCCATTTAGGCCGTGGGCTTCGCCTTCGCTGTAGACACGTTCAGTGGTAAGATTGGTACTGGATGCGTTTCCGTAAGGATTTAGATGCGGTTTGATGGCTCTAAACCTCTAATGAGCTGGAAGAAGCGCCCGTGAGGCCCGCCGTAAACAGGTTGAGCATGAATATCCTGAAGTCCGATAACTGCAATAGGAAAGGCGGCCGTGATGCCGGCAGCGGCGTTGGGATCAAGATAACGGGAAATATATTTTGCTGCAGGCGCGCAAATGTCTAGCTCTGAAACGTCGTGAACGCTGCTCTAACCACGACGATCAAGCAAGGGGGTTCGGACCCCCTTGCTTGATGCGACATCTAGAGTCGATTGTAGGAGGTGGTAGGAGGCTTCACTGTGTGTCGGCATTTGCCGGATTACCTTTTCCGGTGTTGCTGGGTGTTGGATCGTGGCAGAGACTGCGTACTGTGCTTCGTTTTTTGTATGCGCGTCACAATTGAAAAATGTCTGATATGGTGAGTGATCACTACAGTTGGTTCATCCTCTGGGTAGCAAGCCGAGGGAAGACCTACACAGGCCTGACCTCACGATATACGCACTACACCGAGTAGTATCAATGTGGCATAACACTACCTAGTTTGCCTTTGCTAAGTATGTACTTGAACACAAAGTGAATGTGAGTAGCTGTCAAATGCCTTGATACACGAAGAGCACCACATTGACCTTGCTCGAATATATTATAAAGTGTTCTTGCCCGCTCGCGCTCTTGGTAGCTCGCACCCGCCCGTCCGCTCTCACCTAGACGGCTGCCACCACACGCCCGCCCGTCTGCCCTTGCCCTCTGGCTACTTAGCTCGCCTGCCTGCTCACTCGCCCACTCGTTTGATGGCCCGGCCAGCCGGCCTCGCCTCCTCGCCCGCTTGCCCTCGCGCTCTCGCTTATGTACCGCCCGCTTGCCCGCCCACACGCTCGCCCTCCCTCTCGCCCTCGGCCCGCCTCACCCTCTCTCGCCCGTGATCTCATCCACCCGCTTGGCCGGCCGCCCACCTGTTCACCAATTCGCCCACGCGATTGGCCACTTGCCCGCGCACCTGCTCGCTCGGGCTCATGCTCTCCTACTTGCCCGTGGACCCGCGCACCTGCCTTCACGCGTGCGGAGCCCGTGCCCTCGCTGGCGGGTGTGCACTTGGGCAGGTAAGGTTACAGGTCGAGCTTCCTAGCCCGGTCTCCGGCAGAGTGGAAACAGCTTTTCGCCCCTGCCACCGATCCCACCACAAGTCATGCAACAGGCGCTCAAAACCTATAGTAATGCTCACGGTGTTAGGGCTCTTGAACAGGGCCTGAAGGCCTGACGGACTCAGGCCTTCCGGGAGGCGTATAAGGGGGAGCTGGATCGCGATCCGCACTTGTTCACGCGTCGTAGCCTGAGAGTAGCCGCCCAGTAGATTACGGAAGTCCATATTCATGCTTGCACGTACCGCGTACTTCGAATGGACGCTCACGGTGACTCAGGGTCTTTCACTTTCATCTGCACGTTCGCCTCCTCTCTCTCGCGCGTCCTCCGCCCATGCCTGGCTTTGCCACCCCCGGGCTTGTACATAGAGGTACGTTCTCTCTTCGAGTCCGTCTCTCGCTGACGGAGTCTCTGGCTGCCGTCTCCCTGTAGGGACGCGTCGTCGACTTCTACCGCAGTCACTGGGCTTTCCCACTGACTGTGACGCCCTCTCCTCCTCGCGCCTTTTCAGTCTGATCATCGACGTTCTACATCCGGAGACGGGAATCGCCCCTCTCTGTACGCGCGCGAGGTTCGCACTGCTCGACGGGCGCCTCGGCGGACCCCTCGTGAACATCGAGGCCGCACACACGGACGTTAGAGTCTGTGCGCTGGTCGTTCACTGTGCAGAGACAGTGGCAACAACTTGGAGGCTTCAAAATGACATCGTTCTGATTCAGATGTTGTCGAATACCAGTCATTCCTCGTGTGATGAATGATTATATAGGCACAGCACTTACATGCAGTGACTGAATAGTTGCCAAAGTCCTCGATGGCTCGAAGTGACTGTATAAGTACTCGCAGCTCCTTGTAAGTTGTACCATCGCGCAGATACCTTCTCTTCGCGGTGCGGGGCACACCAGTATGCAAGGGAAGCCACGTTAGCAGGTGCAGGATACGTGTCTTGGCTTCTAAACATGTGTTACGGATTTGGAGGAAGGCTCTAAAACACGTTCAGGCTCCGCCTGAAGCCAGTTAGAGTGAATGAGACGTCCGTAAATCCTTACGGAAACGCATCCACTTCGTAGAGCAAGGCGGCCCGTGCATGTTCAACATAGCAGGACCCCGTATTCTACTGATACCCCGACTCCGGCGCTCTAGCCCCGAGCCTGAGTCAGAGTCAGAGCCGCCTGAGGTATGTAAACGCCGCCCTGTAACTTGCCGTTGTCGTGACCATTAAGACAGAATTCACTATCCTCTGACAGATGCGTGCAGTGCAGCCTCTTGGACGGTGTGTAGCCACTCAGTCACGGATTCAACATGAAGGCTGATATGCAGGTGCGTGAGCAACACCGAGCGCTTCAGCTAGCACAATGCAAAAACACTTCTCCATTGGAAAGTCCACTACACCGCGACCATCCTGGGGTAGCCGTCGTTCAGGTGAGAATAATTACTCTTCCAAAACAATACAGTCACACACGTAGTATCCAGAGCCAAATTCCAAACCATGCCTTGACCAGCTCGCGCAGTCCTGTCAAGCGTTGCTCGGGCCCTCTAGCAAGCGAAAGGCGTCACCAACCGTTACTTGACGTCAATTCATAGAACGCCCAAGGAGCTAGGACCGTTATGCGGGTTCACTCGATGTCGCATACAAACTCGGCACCCTTTTCCAATATGCAGCGCGCCAGAAGAGTCATCGAATCCTTCGGAGTAGTACGGCATTGCCCACGGACCTCAAGCTAACTTCTGACAGTAAGCACGGTGATGGGTGTCCAAACCTTACGGGGCGTTGGTTTAGCGGCGCCCAAGCCATGCGTAGGCTGGTGTTTTTCCGGCTATTGTTGACGCGATGCAATGGCTTTTGCCTTCTGTGGGTAGTGCGGTAGCGTCTGACGCTGCCGTATCGTAATGATGCATCCGTGCGCTTGGTGCTAACAGTATGTTCGTCTATTCAGACCCGCGCCTTCATCCCATGGTCATGCGTGACGCTGTTAGCTTTAGGGACTAGCAAACGCGTCGTGCTCCTGTCCCTTAGCAGCTCGATGACAAGCGCTGCGACTCCCCATTGCAAGCGCCAGATCTCGCCGTCTCTTCACTGCCTCCTAACTCGTGGTAAGCCTCGTTAACATTTTCTAGTCGTACTGGAATCTCACCATCATCTTTACAGCTACACGAGTGCTGCCAGTGACCGTGAGGTGTCTAGCTACCAGCCAGGGTTTGTTCAGGCCACCATGGGAGCGATAGGCGTCTGGCATTCCACGATCGTTGGCGCTTCAATCTCAGCGACACGACAGGGATCTTCAGAAGGCCTCCTCGATCGGCAACAGGAGATTGGAGATCCAGCAAGGATCTCGGTATTACTCGGATTCGGACTCGGGCTCGGACTCTGAGCCTGCGAGCGGCTGGCGTGCGTTTCGATATCACTGCCAGTGGCCTGGCTTACGAGATGACGTGCGCATTGTGCAGTGCTATATCCTAAAAAGAACTTAGTTGCAGGTGCTTTGAGCAAGGCCGGGCACTACAAATGGGGACCCAGAACAAGGTTGGACAGATCTTGTAACGCTGAGACAAGAATAGCCGTCGTCGATTAATTGCCCTTGATAGCACGCCGGTCTGAATACTTTACAGATGCCACGCACTATACGCGCAATGGACCTTCAATTGAACTCCGAGACAGCGACGTGGCTATAGACAAGATCAACGTCTTACGTTGTGACAAGGCACCGCTCCTACCCGGTGACAAGCTGTCCAATTCCAAGGGTTCCCTGGTACGCTATCACCAAATCTCATCCATTGCCTCTTGCATGTTCGCAGGCGCAGCCATTCTGCGCGTGTGGCCAAACTGCCCGCTTTGTCAAAACACCGTCCCGTCACGGTCCAATCATTCAACGGGTCGGGCCGGCGTATCTATGCATGTTCCATCCTTTCCAGCGACCACTCACTCGCGCTGTGTATGTCTGTACGAAACTGGAAGCCACAGTAAGCATATCGGTATGTACTCCGCCGCTCTTTGTCCCATACATGGCAACACTGACGCCGCCCGCGATGGCCACTCCGCGACGAGTATAATTTCGAGCACACCGAGGCTTCCATCGGGTAATGGTCCGTGAACACCATGCATTATGTCTTACACAGCCCTTTCTACAACATCATCCATGCCGTCCACTCAGCGCCGATACGCGCGTACGCAGCAGCGTTGCGGAATTCAAAGTAGAACTGCAGTAGAGGACAAGGAGTATTGTAATCAGCGTACGGAGCTCTTGAGCATCAAACACGGCCTGCCGCCAGACGATGTCTCCTGCGCCAATGCTACCTGCGGAACGAGTATCAGCGTACACGCATCTTCCTAGCGCGTCGTCGTGATTGCTACTGTACTATATTGTGGCAGGGAAGTTTGAAGCTGTACGCACACTGTTACACACCCTTGACTGGCACAATAACTGATACATCGACTGAGCTATAGTTACGATATACACATACAACGGCAACATCTGACGAAACTTTGTGTCAACGAGCATCCTATTCGAGAGCACTCCAATACATACCAGCTGAGCATTTCGCCGACTCGTCAAAAATTGCGCTCCTCCATTTGTTTTCTCGCCTGCGTCCTCATGACCTGGAAAGCCTGGAGCTGATCGCACACTCGAGCCAGCGACGGAAGTCCACCACGAAGCCGTTCGTATAACTCTCGCAACGCCTTTATGTCGAGGAAAGGGAACAGACGGTCAAGGAAGAGTGCGACGTCCATCACGTCGATCTCCTGACGGTCTGAAATGCTCTCGCCGATACCGAGGAAATCGAGATGGTGTGACAGGCTCGGGTATGTGTCGAGGCCCGCCGCGAACGTCAAGTCCATGGACGAGACGTATAGCATGCGCAGGTGTGGGCATGACCTCGCGATGCGCGGTAGACAGTCTAGAGTGGGTCTCGCCATGACCACATCTCCTGCAGTCTTCCATCGAATGCGCAGCGAGACGATATTTGCCCAGGAGGAAGTGATTGCACAGAGGTCCTCATCGGATACAGCGATTCGCGATGGTATAAATAGATAGACGGTGTGTAGATTGCGGAGCCCAAACAACAGTGGGAGAGGGTGCAAAGACGGACTAGCATCGCCGTGGGTTGACTCCAGGGGTAGGTTAGATAGCGTGAGCTTGTGCAGCGACACACTGAAGTGAGACTTGATTGTGCTCAGCAAGTCAGTGGCGGTTTGAGGGTCGCAGGAATATGGTGTTCTGATCTCGACCTCTATTTCGCATAGGGTGGCATCCGACGTCGCAAAACCCATAAGGACGCGACAGATGGATCGAGGATCGCCTTCAATGCGAACAGCCTTGAGACCACGGAATCCGTGAAGTTCCTGGACAACATCCTGGCCAAGCTCAGAGGCGTCCCTTAGGTGGAGCCGGGTCAGATTGTCCAAGGAAGAAAGTGCTCCTAGACCATGTGTGTACTGACTTGGCTGTCCGGTTATGGCCACTTCCCGCAGACCACCACATTTGCCGAAGGGAACGAAGTAGTAGGGGGTGGCATACGACATCACCGTCAATGTTTCGAGACCTGGCGCGGCGGTAGCCACCTGCTCGCACAACGTCTCGTAAAGGAATTTGCGTGTGACTCCATCGATGTTCTCGGTGACTGTGTTCACATCATCGAAGAAACGGAAGTACAGGGATCGGAGTGAGGGCGAGACGAAGTAGAGAACATCGTGATCGGCCAGGTCGTCGTGTCTCCAGCTTAGCGTTCGGAGTCGTGGCAATAGCGGTTGGTGGCCCAGTGCCCTGTACAAGGAGAGTAGGACGGATGGATGGATCGGCTGAGACTCGGAATACTCGCGGTCTATATGGAGAGTGATGATCCTCTGCGCGTATAGCTGGAAACGATGTAAGTCCTCGGAACTCAGCCTGCCGAACAGGATCTTGTCGGCTTGTCAATGATGTGGCTAAAGTAATAGGATGTAGGAGGGCTCACATAGTCGGAAGTACGGTCACGGTGGTCGTGAAGAACGGTTGCCCGCTGGAAGGCCGGTAGAACCTTGAACAAAGGATGTAGGTCGTCCATGCTGCTCCAGAGAACATCCAAGGCGAACTCGTGGACGAACTTGTTAACGCGGGCGCATGATGCCAGCGTTTCCCGCTTTTCAGGGTTCGAGTATTGTTCAAAAAACGGATCGGGGTATAGATGATTGAGTGTTTCCCCAAGTATGTCTCCAATCTGAAAGGCCCTGGATGCAGCCATGTTGCAGAAGAGCAATCCTAGAGAACGCAGAAAGTAGTAGCTAGGAGAGGGATATGTCTACGCAGCCGCCGATCGATCGCAACCGCGCAGAACCGCGCATGCTTCCGGCTTGTGCGCCTCGATGCCTGATCTTGCCGAACACCGTATGCTACTCTTATGTCTGTTCGAGTAGGAGCTGGTGGACGTAGTGGATCGCAGGCGGAACCTCAAGTGTGTGGCTGAGCTTGTGGCGGGTGCGTCTGTGGCGGAAGCAAATATTGCATTGTTCTCGTCGCGTACTACTACTAGGTCGCCGTCTTTTGCACTGCTCGTCCTCAGCTTGAAGATAGCGACTTACACCGCTATCTACCGTTTCTTTCCGCGAGGAGACGTCCTTCAGCTAAAGGTTCGAAGGTTCACCCCTTGCGCGTTCTAACAGTGTTCTTGATGTCCCGTTGCGCGACGACTCCGGACACGAGCACGCAGACAAGGATGCGTGAAGGTTTTCTCGCTCGTCCATCGAGCGCGGCATGCTCAAGAAGGCGACGCACGCACTTGAGTGAGCGTTGTGTGCGCGACAAGTAGCGATTCAAAGGTCTGTCCCTCGCCGCCCGTCTGCGACCTAGCGCACTTTACAGTCTGGATAGTTCATCAAGCGAGTTTGGCGTGTAGCGGAGTCACTGGAACGGCGTGTTTCACAAGCTCGCCATTCGGTTTGTCCTCCATCTATCGCCCGAGCCTCTGGTCCTTCCCACCCACACTTTCTCGTGTGCACCTACTCGGCATGCCCTCTTCTGGATTCTCGCTTGCCTCGGTATGTGTCTGCGTCTGGAACACTGGCTGGTAGCTGACTCTGAGATCAATTGCTGGACCGACAAGGCGGCACCTCCTGGCGGCGTGCAGCTCTAGCGACACACTGTCCGGCCGCGCGAAATCAGCCACCATAGTGAAAGTCGAGCTTCGGGTACAAGATGTCAATGACCGTAGTGTGCACGGGATGAAGCCTAGGGGGGAACTGCCAAGGAAGAAGGGATGGCGAAGGTAAGTACAGCAAATTCGAAGCTTCGAAGCCGAAGTACGCCCCTGCAAGCGACCGTTAACCCGCAAACTCATCTGTCTGCCCGCACGCGCGTCCACTCGCCCATTTAAATGCTCGTGCGCCAATCCGAACGCTGTCCCGCACGTTCGCCCGCTCGCACACAGTCGCTTACCTATCCTTGTGCTCAACGGCTTGGGCGCCCGCTCGCCCACGCGCTTGGTTGCCCG